TGGAACGAGAGGGCACTACAGGGGACTTTCTTAAATTCCTTGTCGGACCCATTAAAAGACCAGATCGCCGCAAGAGACGAGCCGTCCAACTTTGACGCTCTCATTAATTTAGCTGTATCGATTGACGAACGTTTCCGCGAGCGGCGGCAGGAACGGGACTACAACTCCCAATGTACCACCACTTCCGGTTTTGGTCCGTCACTCAGTGTTGTCCGTAGTAAAGATTCGATCTCGTATTACAAGTCCCAGAATCATTCAACCCACGTGCCTCCCCCTTCACTCACTCTATCTGAACCCAAACCCATGCAGGTGGGACGCACCCATCTTACTCTCAACATTAGACAAAGACGCAGAGAACTAGGCTTATGCTTTTATTGTGGCCAAGACAGGCATCTTATTGCCGCCTGTCCGTTTCGGGGAAACGAGAACACCCACCAATAAAGAGGGAGATATTGGTGGGGACTTCTTCGCTCTCCCCGCTAAGTAGATTGACCATTGCTACGGTCATCCAGAGTAATCACAACCGTTTCCCTGTTTCTGCACTCATAGACTCCGGCACTGAACAGAATTTAATGTCAAAGTATTGTTTCCAAATTGTCCCTACCCACTGTAAAGATACCCACCGTTTCCATTGCGGGAATCACGGGCGACACCCTAGCCCAGGTTCAATACCGCACCATAGACTTACACCTAATAACATCCGGCAACCACCATGAACACGTCAATTTCTTTGTCTTTGATTCACCTCATGACCAAATAATTTTAGGATACCCTTGGTTAAAGCTCCACAACCCTCACATTAATTGGGAACTTGGCAGAATAGAGAAATGGAGCGGGAGATGTCTAAAACACTGTCTCCGCTCAGGAATCTCTAACACTATTAAACAAGACACCAACGTAGAACAGATTGATTTAACTTCCATTCCGTCCGATTATCACGATCTCTCCCCTGTTTTTAGTAAACAAAAAGCTTTGTCCTTGCTGCCGCACCGACCCTACGACTGTGCCATAGATCTTTTTCCGGGTGCTCCCTTACCAGCCAGTCGTCTGTACAACCTCTCGGGCCCAGAGAGGGATTCCATGAAGGAGTATATTGAAGAATCACTGGATTCTGGAATTATTCGTCCGTCCACCTCCCCAGTAGGGCCCGGGTTCTTCTTTGTATCCAAGAAGGATAAGACCCTCCGCCCTTGCATCGATTAACGGGGTTTAAATAACATTACAGTCAAGAACAAGTATCCTCTTCCTCTTATAGACTCCATACATGAGCAGTTACAGTCAGCCACCATTTTTACTAAATTAGATTTGCGTAACGCATACCATTTGGTA